TGCAACATTACAGATAAAAAATGTTACAATACAATCAGATGACATGGTAATTTTTTCGCATACAGGACAATAGGAGTATCCCCACAACAGTAGACCCGCAGGAAACAGAGAGCCCCCCGCCCCCCCCCCCACCAGGGAATGCAGGAGAGGCATAAGCTGGCTTTGAGAGAGTGATAATCAAATTAAAAGTAATTACAACAGCCTATGCATTATTAGATCAAAAGGGGCTAAACCTGGAGTGGCCAACCAAGCATCCCAAAGTTTCTCAAATGTACCCCAACATCCTCTATGCTGGTAAACTAAATGATCATATTGTAAAATAATTCCCATATTTTGCTTTCAGTCGGCAACAATGGGAGGAGTATCCTAGGTCCAGCGCATTAGAAGTGCCTTGCGTGCCTGGAACAAGGCCTTGGAAAAGGCCTCTAATATAAATGTATCCCACGCTACCGAATCTAAAATACCCAAAAGGCACTGCTTAGGATCTAGAATTAAATTAGTTTGAAACACCAAATTAAGGGTAGTTACCACCTCTTCCCAACACCTATGAAGTTTTGGACATCTCCACAACATATGTATCAGATCTCTGTGGTCCCGCTTGCATCTGCCATATAGTGGGTCCTGACATAGCCCCATCTTGTACAATTTTGCAGGAGTGTAATGAACCCTAAGTAGAATATACAGTTGTGAAATGTGATGGGAAACCGTCAATGAACTAATATGTATGGAATGCAAGGCAGCCTCCCACTGGTCATCCTCAAAAGTCCCAACATCTCGTTCCCATTGCCCACTGGCCCTACTCGGGTGTTTTTCCAAATAGTCTGTCAAAAGCATGCTATAGCAACAAGAGATGAGCCCCCTGGTCACCACAGCAGATTTTAAGTAATTAAAAATAGGGGTAGGAGAGGAGTGCCAGAAGGCCGGTGGGCCCTGAGCAGTAACTGCATGTTTTAACTGCAAATAGTAAAATAGCATTGTGGTTGGTAGTTTATACCTAGACTGCAGTACATCAAAGGAGAGAAGCTGACCATTGCTAAATATATGCTTCAAGTGAGTGATGCCATACGCTTTCCATTTAGAAACATATTGTAATTTGGCTAATTCAGTTATTGTCGCATTGTTCCATAACAGACTATAAACGGTATGACCCGTAATCTCTGGTAACTGCCTAACCTTAAGCCAAATTTTTTGCATTTGGCAATATATAGGGAAGGATTTATTAGGTTTACAAATAGATTGATCCTCAAGACCCTCAGGCAAGGAGCCAGAGGCAGTACAATGCAACATCACTTTTAGAGCAGAGTCATCAACCGGAGCCGGTCAACACCTCCCTCCGCAATACCTCTAGGAAAATGCTGCAGCTGACTAGCAAGGTAGTACAACCATGGGTTAGGCAAAGCTATCCCCCCTCTATCCTTAGGACGCTGCAATTGTTCCAGTCGAAGCCAAGGTGAACGCCCCCCCCCAAAGCAACGAGCAAAAAATGGTATTTATGATTGCAAAAGTTTTCAATGGAATCATGACTGGGGGGTTATGAAAAAATGTAGGTCTACTTTGCAAAACTATGTTCACTTTTAAATGTCACTGAGCTAACATGAGTTATTTTGTGTAGAGAAATTGTGCCAAGCAAACAAATTATAGATATACAGATATTACAGGCGAAGAGCAAAAAGGTTGAGTCAGTGACAGTGACTAATCGGGTATGAAGGAGTTTTAAACATGTGCCACTAAAAACAGCTATGCGCTAATTTACAATATAGAACCTTGTTTTCAAAGCTTGTTACCTAGTTACACCCTATTCTTCCTACATTGTGTGCAGTCTCAAAATACAACACATATTCCCACATATGGCTGTGTAAGAGCAGCACACATTGTTAACATACACAAACAAAACGTGTACTGAAAATTCTGGTATTATTTTAAAAGAATCTACTATTTATATTTATTTATTGTGGTCAGGATTAAAATAAAACACACAAAAAAATATCTGTAGACAACCTTACCATTTTCATTCAATAAAAATTTAATATAAAAAAGAAAACACAAAAAACCTTTTTTCTCAGGTATATAGAAAATACAACATATTTTATATTTTCACATGCAGTCAGCTGGTGGGGCTTTTGACTCCTTTTCAGATTTTTTTTGCCCTCCTTATCACCTTTGATTTAAAAACCTGTCTTTTATTGGGACTCAATAGCTCAAACTGAAATTTTGGCCACAAGTGAGAACATACTGTACCTTTCAATCCCTGGCAGGCCCAGGACAGGGACAGGAGGGACACAAGCCCTGGGCTCAGTGTTGATATGTGCAGAGGGGAGCACTTTGGTCGTTTGTTCTCTGGCAATCCACTGAGAGTAGGGATTGCAGCATTACTCTGGTAAGAAGAAGCAGATGCCTCAATAGCTGCTGCAGGGAGGACTCTGCTCTCTTCTCAGACTAATAGCAGCCTGCTGTGGGCAGATGAGAGTGAGCGCCTTCTGAGAACACACCTTCATCTCAGTGTTGTGCCACTGAGAAGTGAGGGTAGACTTCCCTTCTTGTCATGTGACATATCACATGACCGAAGATTGGAAGAAGGAGCTCCCAGCAGACACCATACTGACAAGGAGGTCTAAACTAAGTGAGTACACAGAGGAGGGGGACAACTGAGCCCTAGATTTTCCCTCTCTCCATCTTAGAACCTTTGACACTGATGCAGCACCATTCTTCCTCTTAGCAACATCACTGATGCAAGGACATTTCCAGTAAAACCATCAGGAAGAGGGAGGGTGCAGTTTGCCATTTTCGCCCTGGGCACTGGATGACCTTGTCAAAGCAGTGATCCCTGCTGTGCACCTTAATTAGAAAATACATAATGCTCTGGGAATCATGGTTGTTTCCAGTATTCATTTTTTTTTGTCAAAGTATGTTTTTTTGTGACTGTAGCCAATGTTGGTGGAGTTTGAAAATTGCTTTGAAGAAGTACTCCTGGGTAAGGTAGACTGAATTTTAAAACAACAAAAATATGTGTTACATAAAATTGTATATTCATACAGATATCTTTAGCTAAATCTTGCAGGCTGATGACATGGTGGAAGTGGTTAGGTGATCTCAATTATGGAGGTGCAATGTATGGATCTCGGAGTCTTTATTAAGTGATGTGCACTAAAGGAATACAAGAGGAAAAGCAGACAGGTGTTGAGCCTTTCTTCATCTTCCACCTTTGTTGTATCATCATACTCCTTAGTTATTCCATCATTAGATTCCTAATCACTTCACAATCCTGAGGCATTTTCCAGGTCTTTACCATCCTGTCATCATATAGGTACCTATATGATGACAGGATGACAGGACAGCTTCACTTTGCAAAAAATACCCAATCATATGCAAGCAAAAATAGTCAAAACTCGGAAATGTAAATGGTGAAAACAAACACTTGTGATTTTAACTAGGAATGAGCTCAGGCGTGTTTGGATCCTAGAACCAGCAAACACAAATGCTCCTGCGCTTGGGGATGGACTCAATGCAGGCTACAACCACATTAAGAATGTCCTGGAACATGCACACCTTGCTGCCCTCAAATGGACCGGGGGAATCCAAATATACTGAATGAGGAAAGACAAAACAGAGGGCGCACAGGCCTAGTGCATTACCATAAAAAATGTTTAATAAAAAATAAAATAGGTGTTGTACTCACAAATGACATTAAAGTCAAGGCACATCATAAAGAACAGCTGGGTCAACACCGCGCTGAGTAACAGTCCGCAATAGGGAGTTTAGACATCCAAAAGGCTGACGCATTTCGAGGACTTGCCTCTTCCTCAGAGCCAACGGCCCCAATGGCCGTACATATAAGATTAAGCAGTTCATCAACTGTGGTACTTCTTTTGTGATCTATGGGCTCATCTGCCCCTGTGGCCTCCTATATGTTGGCCGAACCATGCGCCCCTTGAGGGTCAGGTTTGGCAAACACAAATGTAACATCATTAATTACAAGGAGAGCAATAAAGGCAAAAACAAATATTCCGTACCACAGCACTTTCAGGAGGCACACAGTGGTGATCCATCAGGCATGAAAGTATTTGGGATTGAATCCATCACAGGAGATTCAGATGGTGGAAGAAAATTCCAAAGACTATGTAAGAGGGAGACCTATTGGATCTTCACTCTGGGTTCCCTCTCACCCACTGGGGCTTAATGAAGATCTTGAGATACACGGGGTCATCCACTGACTCTCCGTTATGCATAGGTACCTTCTGCTGAGCTGCACATGTTTCCTAGAGTCCTACTCTCATTCTTTTTGTCTCTCTCCCAAACCCCCTCCCCTCCTTTTTTTTTTCTCTCTCTCCCCCCCCTCTTTAGTGCTAGTTCCATCATTTCCCTTGTGACCTATAGTGGGTACACCATCCACTACAGATGTATGCTTTAGATATATTCATTTTCATCAGCTATGATTACTATAGTATCATCAGTATAGCTACCATTACCCTGCATCCTTACACATTAGGTTGCTCACTTCATATTTATTGTGTCACCCTTAGGCGCATGCGTATGACCGCATTCCCATGTGCTTGTGTCTATGGGTCATTCATTGATCACCCATTTTTTCATTCAGTTTCCATATGTTTGCGTGGGTTTATGTATGTATGTATATACATGTTTTTTTACTAAAAAGCAGTTGCTCATGTGGACGTGTTACACACACATGTGCGCACGCATGTTGTCCAGCAAGCTCTCTTCGAGCACTGCTTTCTCATCCTGCAAGTGCTTGTTCCATAACACCTTTGACATTTTTATATAATTCTTATATATAACACACATATACATCTTTTATACATTTTTAATTATTAATTTTTATTTTAATTTTTATTTTTTTTTTTTTATATTTTTATAATTTTTTTATTATTATTATTATATATTTATATTTTATATTATATATTTCCTATATATTTATATTTCTTATGCTTCCATGTCTATGCATACACACATATACCATACACTATACCAATTTTACCAGATATTATACTATATTGTAACAATACTTATTTAATTTTATTTTATTTAAACTTTGTGAACCATATTAAGAAGTTTTTTGTAACGTTTTATATCAACATTTATGTTTTACTAGTGATTTATATCCTTTGTTCTTGTATATAGTATCGCATATGCATATCCATCCATGGTGCACTACATTGCCACACATGCCTACGTTTCATCATATGACTATACTAGAATGATAAGCCTGTAGGCTGCATTTCTATGAATTAATAAATGTTTCTGCTGGGTTTCAGATCTACTCTCTATATTAAATCCATGTCCCATGGTTGTCCATGGCAAGCAGAGCACTAGGCAGCTTCGTAGCGTTGCTCATCCACCCATCCATTTATTTAAAGGCGAGCAGTGCAGTGCATCACCAGGAAAGGATTTTTATTTTTTATATATATGTGTAACTTTCCATTTATTTATTTTTCACTGTGCACACTTCTTATGGTTCATATGATTTTATGATTGTCACTAGTTTCAATGGTTTCATTTATACACATATATATATATTTTTATAGACCTTTCGTGTTTACTTGTCCATTGCCCCTGTGACTCCTCCACCTGCACAGGGGAGTGTCCAGGATGGCCCATGTGACCTTTGGTTTAACTAGTAGTGAGCATATAAAAGAGGGAGCAGACATTTGGTCAGTTGGCTCTGAGGAAGAGGCAAGTCCTTGAAACGCGTCAACCTTTTGGATGTCTAAACTTCCTATTGCGGACTGTTACTCAGCGCGGTGTTGACCCAGCTGTTCTTTATGATGTGCCTTGACTATATTGTCGTTTGTGACTACAACACCTATTTTATTTTTTATTAAACATTTTTTTATGGTAATGCACTAGGCCTGTGCACCCTCTGTTTTGTCTTTCCTCATTCAGTGTTTGGATCCTAGTCCAAACCCACCTGAGTGAGCCTGCCAGGAAGCCATCACTTTACCAGGTCTTTACCATCCAGTCATCATATAGGTCACCATGATTAGAATGTTTTGTATGTACCATTACTTATGACATTTACAGCACCCTGAATAATGAAGAATATCTGGCTCTGCGACTCAACACCAACCAAAGCATGAAGCAGGGTCTGACCTTTTGCCACCAAGAACTGGTGCCATAGGTGCATGTCACAGTGCAAGTGTGACAATAACTGAGTCATGTACTTTGATAAACCTTGTGGGCTGCTGAGCATTTTGGAACGTCTGGGATACAAAAGGAACAGCTGACTTTTGTTGATGAGGCTGTTCTGCTGCATTCATGTTCAAAATTCCCCTTTTTTTCGGTGGCATAGTGAGTAGAACTAATCTGGCGAGCATGAACCTTGGGCAAAGTCCCTTTTTTTTCTTTCGTTCAACAGATATGGACAGTATTGGCAGTCTGGTAGATGAAATAGATTGCCAGTTCACATTACCAGCCAGGTACTTAAAGAACCCATATTTTTTAGCAAACAATACAATTTAATTAGCTTGACTGTGGAATAAGATTGGCAGCTCTTGTGAGTAAAACAACAAATTTTTCTCCTAAACAGGCCTTGTTTTCTTTTCTTTGCAATGCAACCTATGGTACAGATTGTGGAAAAAAGTCACATATTTTATTTTAATAAAAATGACCCTTTGCTGCTTTAAGGGTTTTTATTTACTAAAGGCAAATAGACTGTGCACTTTGCAAGTGCAGTTGCGCCAAAGTTTAGTAAATGAGGTGAAGATTCACTTTTCAAAAAATACCCAATCATATGCAAGGAAAGTAGTCCAAACTCGTAAATGTAAATGGTGAAAACAAACACTTGTGATTTTAACTAGGAATGAGCTCACTGTACTGGCTCTATCTACTGTGACTGGGGCATTCTCCACACTACAGCCGCACGTTTACAGGAGGTGTGCATACATGTGGTAGTGGACCAGAGAATGCCATGGCCACTTATCATTGGCCCAGTACAGTAACAGTTTCCTGGCTGGCTTGCTCAGGTTGGTTCAGATTAGCATATGAACATGCCTGAGCTCATCCCTAATTTTAGCCATTTGCTTTTAGTGCATTCATTCTTCATGGTCCATGTAATTAGGGGATGTGGTAGGAGAGTGCCTTTTACCTACACACGTTTTGCTCAAAATGATCCTTTTGCTACCAATGTAGCAATATACTATCTTTATGTCTATTCTTTATTCACTTTATTGTAACCTTCACTTATATTCCAATAGCATTAATTTACTTAAAGCTTCAATAAAAACTTTATGAATCAAAAGTCTCCCTCTGTCTTATCTCAAAAAGTTATGACGTATGCAATAGATACCTGTGAAAGCGGAACTTCCCCCCTTAAAGGGGAAGTTCTGCTTTATGTAGGCCTCCCAATCCTCCTTCACATTTGGCACATAATACTTTTTTTGAGGATTGGGTACAAAAATTTAATAGGTACCTACTTACACTTGCGTTCAGCTCGTCTTGGTGATCCGAGCGGAAGTCCCCCCCTCCTCTTTGATTTCAGCTTTCTGGGACACGTCACAGGTTCAAGAAGGCTGTTGGGTCATTCAGAAAGCGCAGGAGTCACAGCTGGTTTCCCACACTGAAGATGTTGGCTCTGGGGACCCAAAGACTGGGGAAGAACCGGCCTGGGTGAGGACAACGCTGGATCTTTGGAGAGGTAAGTGTGCTTTTATTAAAAGTCAGCAGCAACAGGATTTGTAGCTGCTAACTTTTAACTTTTTTCTAGGGTGAAGATTAGAGATGAGCGAATCGAACCAGGCGAAGTGGAATTCGTTTCGAATTTCAGGAAAAATTCGATTCGCAGCGAATCCGAATATTAGCATACTTCGGGGGCGCGAATCGGATTTTTCCCGATCAGCCGGCAAAAGTGTCCCTGCAGAGAGCTCCGCTATTTCTGACAGTTCTCTGACAGTTCCTTCACATGTACAGCGGTTGAAACATTGTATCTATTTGTTTCCATTTAGGATACAGATGTTTTTATTCGGAAATAGATACAATGTTTCAACCGCTGTAAATGTGAAGGAACTGTCAGAGAACTGTCAGAAATAGCGGAGCTCTCTGCAGATACACTTTTTGCTGTACTGGAATACTTCTTCTTTTCATTCTTCTTTTCATTCTTCTCATTCTTCTTTTCATTCTTCTTCTCATTCTTCTTCATGAAAAGAAGAATGAGAAGAAGAATAAAAAGAAGAATGAAAAGAAGAATGAGAAGAATGAAAAGAAGAATGAAAAGAAGAAGAAGAAAAAGAAAAGAAGAATGAAAGAAGAATGAAAAATGAAAAGAATGAGAAGAATGAAAAGAAGAATGAGAAGAATGAAAAGAAGAATGAAAAGAAGAAGAAGAAGAATGAAAAGAAGAATGAAAGAATGAAAAGAAGAATGAAAAGAAGAAGAATGAAAAGAAGAATGAGAAGAAGAATGAAAAGAAGAATGAAAAGAAGAATGAGAAGAATGAAAAGAAGAATGAAAAGAAGAAGAAGAATGAAAAGAAGAATGAAAAGAAGAATGAGAAGAAGAATGAGAAGAATGAAAAGAAGAATGAGAAGAATGAAAAGAAGAATGAAAAGAAGAAGAAGAATGAAAAGAAGAATGAAAAGAAGAAGAATCTTTTCATTCTTCTCATTCTTCTTTTCATTCTTCTTCTTCTTCTTTTCATTCTTCTTCTTCTTTTCATTCTTCTTTTCATTCTTCTTCTTCAAAATAAGAAGAATTCCAAGCCGGCAAAAAGTGTATCTGTCAGAAATAGAGGAGCTCTGCAGATACACTTTTTGCCGGCTTGGAATTCTTCTTATTTTCATCCTACTTCTTCTTCTTCTTCTTCTTCTTCTTCTTCATCCTCATCCTCTCTTCTTCTTCTGAGGATGAGGATGAGGATGAGGATGAAGAAGAAGAAGAAGAAGTAGGATGAAAATAAGAAGAATTCCAAGCCGGCAAAAAGTGTATCTGCAGAGCTCCGCTAAGTGTATCTGCAGAGCTCCGCTATTTCTGACAGTTCTCTGACATTCACATTTACAGCGGTTGAAACATTGTATCTATTTGTTTCCATTTATGGAAACAAATAGATACAATGTTTCAACCGCTGTATGGAGTGAATGTCAGAGAACTGTCAGAAATAGCGGAGCTCTGCAGATACACTTAGCGGAGTCTGCAGATACACTTTTTGCCGGCTTGGAATTCTTCTTATTTTCATCCTACTTCTTCTTCTTCTTCTTCTTCATCCTCATCCTCATCCTCAGAAGACGAAGAAGAGGATGAGGATGAAGAATAATAATAATAAGAAGAAGTAGGATGAAAATAAGAAGAATTCCAAGCCGGGAAAAAGTGTATCTGTCAGAAATAGAGGAGCTCTGCAGATACACTTTTTGCCGGCTTGGAATTCTTCTTATTTTCATCCTACTTCTTCTTCTTCATCCTCATCCTCATCCTCTCCTCTTCTTCTTCTTCTGAGGATGAGGATGAAGAAGAAGAAGAAGAAGTAGGATGAAAATAAGAAGAATTCCAAGCCGGCAAAAAGTGTATCTGCAGAGCTCCGCTAAGTGTATCTGCAGAGCTCCGCTATTTCTGACAGTTCTCTGACATTCACATTTACAGCGGTTGAAACATTGTATCTATTTGTTTCCATTTATGGAAACAAATAGATACAATGTTTCAACCGCTGTATGGAGTGAATGTCAGAGAACTGTCAGAAATAGCGGAGCTCTGCAGATACACTTAGCGGAGCTCTGCAGATACACTTTTTGCCGGCTTGGAATTCTTCTTATTTTCATCCTACTTCTTCTTCTTCTTCTTCTTCATCCTCATCCTCATCCTCAGAAGAAGAAGAAGAGGATGAGGATGAAGAAGAAGAAGAAGAAGAAGAAGAAGTAGGATGAAAATAAGAAGAATTCCAAGCCGGCAAAAAGTGTATCTGCAGAGTTCCTCTATTTCTGACAGATACACTTTTTGCCGGCTTGGAATTCTTCTTATTTTCATCCTACTTCTTCTTCTTCATCCTCATCCTCATCCTCTTCTTCTTCTTCTGAGGATGAGGATGAAGAAGAAG